TTGATTCAACTATATTACATATAGAAAATAATAGATGTTGAACAATAATTTTGGAAAAACAAAAATAATACACTCAAAATTTATATTTAGCTATTGACACAATTAACAAAAATAAAGAATTGGATTATTAATATTATATTTAATTTGTGTTGTTTTTATTTTTATAAGTAATTTCTATTTTATCATTTTAAAAAAATAAATCTCAGCATATCTATTTAAAGAAAATGAAGATAATAAACTATCTAAATCTAATTAAATATTAAGAGACATAATTACTTTAAAAAGAATATATGATAATCAAAGTACAATTAAAAATAAATCATGAAAAAGCATATAATAATTACTTTTTTTATATTTATAAAAAAAGACTTATCAGATAAAAAAATAATATGAAATTAATATTTTAATATAAGTAAGACAATAAAAGTGATTTTTTTCTTCGTAATAAAATATAGCATGTGAGAAATAAGAATAAAAGTAATTGTATCGGATATAGTGTATACCGATCGGTTATTAATTGTTAACCGATCGGTCACCGCCACAACAATGGTCAACCAGGCCACCATCCACTACATTAACTAAGGTCAACCAAACCGAATGGATTTTGGGCTAGCGTTTAAGTTATTGGACCAAGGGTCCAGCAGAAGATAAAATAATCAAAGAAATAAGGGTGTTGCTCCCTCCACCACCCCAAGTGCTCCTGCATCTCCCCACTATTTTCTTTTATTCCAAAAATACTCTACACATCCTCACTATTTTCTTTTATTCCAAAAATACCCTACACCTCCCCATTATATTCAACAATCTTTATCTTTCTCTCTCCACATTAATGGAGCCTTCACATGCCTCAGATTTAAACTTGTGATATATTGCAAAATTTTATTTACACTTTCCCTTAAATAAGTTTGATTCAATCTTATTTTCACTGTTCCATATATTTTTTTTCTTCAAATTACTTAATAAATGGTAAAATTTTGTTCTAAATTTCTAGAAAAATGTTTATATATATATGTGTGTTTTTTAACATTTAATATCTATAATTTTTAACATTATATTATGTTTTAACTTACCGACATGTTTGACTCAAATAACTTGAATAAGGTATTTAATTTATTAGATAATAATATAAAAATATTATTAAATACTTAAAATATAAAAGAAAAGTTGTTTGTTAAAGATTTGGAATTTATTTAGTTTTTTCGTCATTATAAAGTTAGTATATAATAATAATAATAATATATTATTTGCTATTAAAATTATTATGTTTATTATTTTGTATTTGCATCTAACTTTTAAGTTTATAAAATGGAAGTGGTAGAAGCACTAATATTGAAGTTTCCTCTGAATTTTATATTTTGCAATATATCACAAGTTTAAATGTAAGCCATATGAATGCTCCATTAATGCAGAGAGACAAAGAGAAAGATTATTGAGGATAGTGGAGAGGGGTAGGGTATTTTTGGAATAAAAAAAATAGTGGGGAGATGTAGAGTATTTTTGGAATAAAAGAAAATAGTGGGGAGGTGCAGAAACACTTGGAGTGGTGGACGGAGCAACACCCAAGGAATAATTAAGAATATCTGATTGAAGATCTAATTAAAGATATGATAAGTGGTTAAGATATTTATGAGTAACTAACCGAATTTTCAGGTAAGGTTGTTTTTTGACTTATGAAACACTTATAAATACAATGACAGGGTCAAAGGTCTCACACTCTACTACTCTAAAATACTCACATAGTGATTTTAGAGTAGTAGAGTGTGAGTAAAGCGTAAGTAGAACGTACTTGGCCTTTGGCCTGTCATTGTACTTATAAGTGTTTCATAAGCCAAAAAACAACCTTACCTTGAAATCCGGTTAGTTACTTATAAATGTCTTAATCGCTTATCATATCTTTAATCAGATCTTCAATGAGATATTTTTTATTATTCCTTTAATTATTTTATCTTCTGTTAAACCCTTGGCCTAGTAACTTAAACGTTGGCCCAAAATTCATTCGACGTGGTTGACCTTAGTTAATGTAGTGGATGGGGGCCTGGTTGACCGTTGTTGTGATGGTGACCGATCAGTTAACAATTAATAACCGATCGATATACCTTATATCCGATACAATAATAAATATGTTTAACTTAAAAGAAAAAAAAAGCAGAGGAAAAGAAGACCATAGGTAAATTAAGAAGTAAAGAGTGAAACAATAAAAAGTATCGTAATAAATCTTTTATTCTTTATTATATTTAATTTTATTTTTTATTATTTATTAACTTTCAATGACACGTTTTATAAAAAGAATTAAAAGTCTATCTAATTTACGAATTCTCGTTATATATATAAAAAATTTAAAAGTTTGAAAGTCATGACATCTCTACATACTATGAGTTAAGTCATATATAATAAAAAGTTAGATTAACAGATGAGAAGATGGTTATAATTAATATAGACGTAGATGTCATAATTAAATCACGATGCTGCCATATTTTATAAAGAGTTATTACAACTATCTATTATAGGTTTTAGTACAATAATAAATGTTTGATCAACAATTTTATTGATTTACTTCAAGATACCATTTTAAATAGCCATACTTAATAATTTAAAAATCAACATCTTTGTACTTTTTAAACTGTTTGTCAAATCCTTGTAATTGCATCAAATTTTTGGTATTAATAGTAAGAGTCTTATAATGTACAAATAAATAAGAATAATATATAAAAAGAAATTCAAGCCATAACAATCATAGTGTTTTTACCCATATAGTAATTTTCAAATAAAAAATAAATGAAAGTGGTAAAACTTTCCCTTTTCAAAAGTAGTTTATTATTTCCAATGAAAATGAATTTCAAGTTATTCGGTTTAAGAAAACAATTATATTTTTGATTGTAAATTGAGATTGTTATTTTATTTATATGTTATTTTCTGACTATATAAAGTTGTATAAAAATAAAAAATTATGTTCTGTAGGTGGTCCATGCAATTTGAACGCACGTTAACGCATGACAAGTGTCCAATTTGAAGTTATGAGTTTATAACTATATATATACTTCTTTGCCCTACTCCATTCAATTTCATCACCTACCTCTCCTTCGCGTCACAAATTCAGATCTCCAAAATTAAATAAATCCTACGATATTTTAATGTTGTTAAACAAGCACTCGAAGTTGTTAAACAGTTATTAATATTTGTTGATTAACAATAATAATAATAATTTATCCTTATTTCGATACATTTAAAGGTCAAGACAAAAAATAATTTAGAGAATTTAAAAGGAAACCCTTCTTTTTCAAACACGACCAAAAGTCACACAGTGTAGAAACTAGTGTACCTAAATATCACGCGAGCATTTATAATCTTATAAAAAAGTACTCATTCTTATTTTCTCATTATCTCTACATTTTCTTTTCTAGAAACTTCTCACTTACAAGTAAAAACAACACAATAATAATAATAATAATAATAATAAATAGTATAAAAGTAATATACAGAAATAGAGGAAATAAGTACGTGTGTTTTGCCAACAAGGAATGAAAGTGCTTTGATATGACAAATAAACTAGTTTTTAATTTATGAGTTTTTTTTTCAAATAAAATAGAATTATTTAGTAAAACTACTCGTTTTAATGGTTTATGTTATTTTGTGAAAGAAAGTTAACTTCCTTCAACTGATTGTTTGACCAACTCAGGCATTTAGCTTATTCTAATATCCTGCTGTTATTCTAACACATATCAGTGTTTAGATGTATATATAAGCACATATTATTTAATCAAACGCAGAAAGAGAAAATGATATAAAATGGAAGAAAGAGGTAGCTGGATGAATAAGATAGCAAATTTTAAATCTTGTATTTATGATATCCCATAAACTATAAGAACATATTTGTATCTAAATATATATTATAAATTGATTTTATCTTAGTTTAATTTTGTAAAATACGACATGGAACATGTCCTGCTAGGTCAGTGTCCGTTTGAAATTGAAAAGGCTGCAGTCTACAGCAGTCGTATGGTCCATCGAAGCTATGTTTGAAGACAGACCTAGTGTGGCCATAACCACATTTTCTACGCAGCCGGAACAGTATGAAGCAAGCACAGGGAAAGGGAAAGGACTGTGTAGTGAGTGGTCCTGGGTTGGAAATTAGGACACAATAATAAGCTATTATGCATTAAAAGCAACACTTCTGAATGAAGTCAAAAATATAAACACTACCATTCTAATTCTATATCTACTTTTGTCTGAGTTGGGGGAAGCTATATACACATACATACGTCAACTCTCTATAATTTCTATTACCTTCAAATGTTGTAGAATTGTTATGTATAAACCTTTGAAATAATGAAGTTGTCGACGGTAAAAGATAGAATGAGTGCTGACAGCTAATTCCTGTGCTCTTGCATGTGACTACCACAGCCTTGTGGGGACTCTTCCCATAATGATAAAGCTAGCTCTGTCTCACTTCTGAGAATTCTCTTCTACGTCATATGCATCAACAAATCATTTAACCTTTTCACCTACCACTTATTATTGCACCATTTCAATGTCTATCTACTCCTACTCCTACTACTACTACTACTGTTCCCTGCACTTCAACAATTTACCTCAACAGTTTACCTCTTTGAGAAACATGTAAGGTTTTTTACTCCATCTTGAGTGGAACAAACACAGTCTCCATTTTGTATTTATTTTCAGTTTATTATTATTATTATACTACACTATGAACTAAACTTGTTAGCAGTATCATGATTGATATTGGTCCAACAAGTTTTCTCACACAAGTTCTGTTACAAGGTTTTTCCTATAATGTGAAGTGTCTAATCACTACAATAACAACAACAACCATCGACCCTTTTGTTCAGAACTTTTGAAGTGCAAAGCTTTTGCTTTCTCTGTTTTGAATTGAAACACTGTCATCTCTTGAGAAAGAAAAAGAGAGGCTTTTGAAATACATCTCCATTTTGGTGTATGTCCGATGTGGACTCTGCAGCATCGAACTAAAACCGTTTCCAAAATGCACCAAACCGAAATTCAGAGTTAAACAAGGAAGACTTATGCTGATTAACAGGGAAAGTAGCTAGAGTCTATCTTTTACTATATATATATATAAGCTTGGATGTTGGAAAGAGGAAAAGGTACAAAAATCTAAGGATGCATGAATGAATATTGTTGTGAAGGAATGAATAGTACCGAAAAGGGGAGGAGCAGGAAGAACAAATCCCTTTGAGTGGTAGTGTATATGAAAGCAGATCAGAGATATGTGTGCCAAGTGCTACCACCCCTTAATGCAGATAAGAAAAAGATGAGTTGGTGATCATTGCCATCGTAGTCTTCTTCTTCTTCTTGTACCTGATTTTGAAGGAGGTTGTAGTTGGCGACAACATGATCTGGCAAGACCTTGTGCCTGCAAAGTGGGCAAGTAGCACAGTATTGCTGCAACCACTGGTCCAAGCAATCCTTGTGAAAAGTGTGTCTGCAGTTGAGGTTCCTGACCTTCTCCCCTTCCTGGAATTCAGAGAGACAAACTCTGCAGTCTATGTGCTCTGCCTTGAGTCTTGTGGTGTAACGAATGGCGGGGTTCTTCTCTTCGATGAAACTGAGGTATTGGGTGGTTGATATTGCAGGTGTGTTTGACTTAAGGTAGCGTATGATAAGGATAAGTTGTATTAGCATGTATGTTACAAGGACTATTGTCTTGGCGTAGAGCTCATACAAGAACTCACACACAGACCTTGTCATGGCTTCTTCTACTTCTTCCTAAGTTCCACCGCAATTTTTCTCTCTATCTGGAGAACAAAACAGCAATCAATGCACACCGCCGCGCAATAGTTTCACTTATCCATTATAACATGCCTTCCATTTTTTTCCTACATACCCAATACTACAATTTTTTTATGCAAAAACTCTTTTAAACTAAATTCAATATTATTTTAATTAATCAAAGATTTCTTTTAATTAATGATTACAACTACTTCTCCACATCACTACTTATATTAGAATAAACTCATGTCAACTCATCTCAAACTTGATAATCAATCTTACAAGAAATTAAACCGTCTTTGGTCGAGTTATTGAGAAGTAGAACATCTAATCTCTTAATTTACTTATTTCTCTAGACAAGATGTGAAAGAAGCTCGGAGGTCCAGGTAGGAATAGTGCTTCGACATAGAAGTTAGTAAGTAAAGAAAAAAATTAAGATTATTACGGTAAAAATGAAGGTTGCAAAGGGGGGACAAAAACGATTTGTTCTGCCACAATATTGATGCATATATAAAGAGGAGAATTAACTGGAGATATGATACGAGTCACCTTAGGTCAGAAATTGATATTACTTTTATATAAGACTTTTTAAAGCAATGAGATTGGTATCTTATTTTTTTATAAGGTGTTCAAATATCTTATTTCTATCTAACTTTAGATTTATAAACATTTGAATTCCTAACAATCTCTTTCTCTTTCAAGGATGAATCTCTTTCATATTGATACACTCTTTTATTGAATAAAAACACCCTCCACCGTGAGTACTTATTCCATGATAACCATTTTATATCAATGTCATGCCTTTGTGGTACGATGGATCTTTCGAGAGATGTATTGGGGAAATTCAACAATGAGACTTGAGCCAAACTCACATAAGAAAATAATGTCACTTTCAACTCAAAACTTTAAAACAATAGTATTAAGGGTCTTTATCGTTATATGTTACTCTATTTTCTTATTTTTATTTAATTTCAGACTTAAACTCATACTTGAATTTCTATCGCATACCTTAAATTTTTGTATAGTTAATGATAGTTTACGTATCTCTCTTTTAAAAAAATCATGACAAAGTTGAATATAAATCCCAAAGTAAACAATACCTTATATAAAACAATTAATCTTAATAATACTTTCTTAAAAAACTTGAATTTAAAGCATTGATATAATCTACAATAACAAAAAGAAGTTCCATACAATTGTTGTTTCTTTGGTCTGAATTAAGGATTTGTTTTGGTACACCAAAAATACTCATATCCCTCAAGAATGAAGCTTTATAGTAATATACATATGTTCACCTTACTCCTTTTTGTTTATTAACCCCTTAACCATATTTCATTTTTCTTAAATTAACCTAACTCAATCCCACAAAATCGGTTTGTAAAGTGATATTTGCATCTACTATATACTTTAAATTAGTCTTATCTCTAGTCGATGTTAGACTTCCAACACACCACTAGTCTTATCGCTAGTCGATGTCGGACTTCCAATACACCAATCTGATAATGAGTGAAACAATATACCCAACAAACAAAAAAAATTGGTGGGATAAGTTCTAAACCATGACTCTAATATTATGTTAAGAAGTGGATTTTGAGTTAATTCAACCCCACAAAATTGGCTTGTAAGGTGAGGTTTGCACCCACTTATATACTCTATCACTAGTCAATATGGGACTTGCAACAATGATTATTATTTTTATCACATCTAAATTCATGTTGGTATATCAATGGATAAGATCTCACTTTATCTTTAATTGTAGTTAAACCACCATTATTTGTTATCCATTGTAACTATAGTAATCATCTAACACTTTTGTCCAATGTGTGCTTGAAAGAGTGCAACCTTATTTGTTTTATTCCTCCTTTTATGTTTCTCCTACTCTGAATTATACAAAACAACTAAAGTTGACGAATAACTTATATTGAATCGAATATGTAAAAATTTGGGTTTTTTTGGTAATTATATTATTATGCATCATCAGGGTAATAATATAGTTGAAAATGATGGTGCACTTCCCTCTTTCATTTAAGTGTTTATCAACCTAAACATTACAATTCACTTATTTAAAATAATTTAAATATAATAAAAGTGTAATTTCAAATTGTATAGAAATATAAAATAGTAATTAAAAAGTAAAGTCAAAGTTCCCTAATTTTTCAAAGATTAAGGAGTGTGTTTCGTTCTCAATTTTATCGAGTGACATTGTTATGGTCAATCATCGTTTTTGTCTTCACAAATAGCATGGCTGAGCAGTGGTTCGGTTGGGTCGAGTTCAGGTCCAACCTATCCAATCGATCATGTTCCATATTTAATATTTTAAAATTCATTCCAACCATTTAATTTGTTGAGTTATTCAAATATGGATAATTCCAAATACAGTTAAACATATATGACTTTTTCGGATTTAACTTATATTAAATCAATTAATAAAAAATTAATGACTGAATTTAAAACCTTGCTCTCCTAAAAAACAAACAAAAATAGATGAAACGCCGAAAATAGAACAAACTTTGAAACTCCCAACTCCATAAACAACAAAACAAAACTTAGAAAACTTGATCCTTAACACTAAAGGTGAGAACTTTTGATGAATATCATACAACTAGAAAACTTTTGCAATTGCTTACCTATGTTGAGGGAGGTTTAAGGTTTCGACAAAGAATTTGAAATGGAGAAAGAAGAATGAAAAAGAGGGGTGATTACTAGGGCTTTAACTCTTAAAAAACAAGTTGGGTTGGATATTTTCAAATATTTTTTTTCTTTATCTCGTATTATCCAAATTTCTACCAAATTGACCGATCACCTATTTTTTTCATTTGGTTTGGTCGGATGCAGTTAGTTTAGGCTTTTTTACTCACTCCTATTAGCCCATGTCAATGTTTCGATATCAAATTTGTGGAATGGTATTGTTAGGGTCAATCACTGCATTTGGTATATTGCTCGTTTCAAACTTGAAACTCCATTATGATTTTGTTATTAAAAGATATTTTAATAGATTTTATCATTAAAAGATATATTAAAATATTAAAAGAGGAATGTGCATTTAAAAGTATATTATTATTTTATGAATTACTTTAATAAAAAAATAGAATATAATACAAAGTTTGTCGTATTGAAACTTCTTAGATTAATTGAAAATATTTCAGTCGAATACGTGACTTTATTACCAATAATGTGTTGTGGGATGCGCAGACACACCAGTCTAATAAATTCCTACATATGCTAAAATTTGATGATATAAATTGAAATGCCAAGTTGCCATGGAACCTGCCTTTCTTCTATTTTTTAGAATATATTTTCTAGAGTCATACACTCTATTTATCAAATGGTTCAAACCAAACTTAACGTGAAACAAATGAGGCAATTATAAAAAACAAGGTGCTGTTCTTTGGATTCCACAACATGTGTAAACATGCTATCAAGCATTGCTAGAGCTTTCTCCCGTGCCTATGATCAGCACAAAATTTTCAAACTAAGACATGGATTTTCTTCTGAATTTCTTCTTAAATTTAAGTTTAAAATATATAGATTTTAAGTTTAATTCAATATTATAAAATTAACTTGAAGTATAAATTTGTTTTATGTTTAGTTGATATAGAATTTTCAACATTTTATAGGATTAAATCATTAGTATCCAAAATCATACAAAAGCGGATAAAAGGTTTGGAAGAGTGAATCGTAATCAATGCAATTGCAAACTTATCATGGTAACATGGTGCACGTAGGACAAATTTGGTGATTAGGGTTGCAAAAAAGGTTGGATGATGATGATGACGGCTTCCAATAATATCATAAGAGTTTTAAAGTGAGATGTTGATTTGTGAACTGCTGATTTTTTTTATATCTATTTATTTCCCTAGTTTTTGTTATTTTGTTCATCACAATTTTACACACCTTAAATTTAATACTATTCAGTTTGGAATGTAGTATTTTTGTCACAGTTTTATTTCTAGAAAACGTCTCAGAGAATTGAGAAAAAAAATAGAGGACTATTGGATATATAGGGAAAAAAATTATAACGCAAAATAGAAAATATGAGAATTCTACTCTGTTAAAAAGTTGTAATGTCTTACAATCATAATATATATATTTCAAGTTAATGAACAATCAATAAAGATATATGAGTAAAATTTTTTGAGTATTATTTTATGACTTAATTGTACTGCTCTTAATATATTTATAAAAATTGATAAATTGTAACTTTTTACTTATTTATGAATATGATAGAAATTTTATTTGACAAATTTTCATAATAAAATGTTTAACAATTTCATGGTAACTATTATAAAAGAAATGATTTTATATAATAAAATTCAAAATGAATCTTAACCAAATTATAAATCAATGATTTGGTTTATTGGAATTTTATATTAAACTAAAACTAAATTAAATCGAGCTATATTAATTTGTATATTTAATTTAGATAACTGATAAACAGGCCTAATGGTTATTATGTATTACTAAATAGCAACATTTAACAGGAGGAACTAAAGATGAATAGTATGAACGAGGAATAAGACTTGTCATAATGTATTGAATGTAAATTTTTTTTAAGGATAAAAGACTGAGAGTTATTAAAAAATTTAAAAATTGGAAATGAATTTTATGAAAAAACAAAAAAACTACAATCATGGTTTAAAAGAAATTATATGATGAAACTGATTGGTGACATAATAACTTATTATATCATTATTTAGCATGCATATTGACATATAATCGAATATATCAACAGAACAACTATACATGCCGACAAATTTTATTTAAGGACTAAAAGTGAATTAAAACAGAATTTAAGGTTTAGAACATAGAATACCCTAATGGAATTTATCTCATCAAGTCAAACTATAAACTTCTATAATATTTGGTTTTTATTTTCACACTTTTTATGAAAATAAAGTATTATATTTACCTTATACATAAATTCTCAAACTTGACTTAGTTTATATATCATAATTTTTATTAATGATGTAAAAGATTTTTATGTTGGGAAACGGTAAAAAATTGTCATATATATTTGTAATCATTATTCTTAAAATATCATAAAAGAATATTTATTTTGTAATATTCATTAATAGAGTAAAATTGTTAAACAAAACATTATAAATATGATAA